GGTAGATTATAGCACTGAAAACCCCTGAGACGTGTACAAGCACGGGGGCCTAGCAGAGGGCCGCCAAACACTACCAGTGGAACTATAACCACCTTAGGCAGACCCCCACCAGGCAAGAAAATGAAAAACAAAGAAAAAACCCCGCAAAAGTACACCGTCTCCAGAGGCAACAGAAACCGGCCGCCGCTTAGGTGGCAGGCTGCGCAACACCTTGACGCCCTAACCAGCACAATACCAATCCCTACCCAGGGCCAAACAAGGGCCCCAAGCCCCAGCTGGCCCCAAGCCCCAGCTGGCCCCAAGGGCGAGGCAAATGCCGAGCAGCAAGAACCTCTACGGGAATGGTTCCCGAACGCCCCAGGGAAGATAACCCTGTTACGCAAGGGCAGTACTCACAGGGCGCTTAGGGAAGTCAGCCACTAAGCACATGCAGCCCCGGCACTGATGAAGTACTCCTGGCACACCGCCACAACACAACACACGGCAGTGAACGCCACACAAGGCAAACACCGCCTAGGAAACTGAGGCCAGAGAAGCGTCAATCCCGGTTGACATTAGCGAACGAACTGGAGCTTGGCAGCCGGCGCGGTAGGTCCGGGGCTCCCCCCTCCCCCTCCCGGGGTGGGGAGGGCTGCGCGGACGATCGGCGCGGCAGTAAAGTGTGATGTTTGCTAGTTTCCTTGGGATTGTAGGGAGTTTTCTACCTCTCTGTTCGGTTTTTGTTGTAGTTTCTTACCATGTGGGGTTTGTTTTGTTACGCCTACCTTTCTGGGTGCCTAACCCCGGTCGATGGCAGATAAGGAAAACCCCAACCATATGGGGTTTTCCAGGGCCATTGCTCCCTGAAACCTCTCTGAAGGGGCCAGGTTCTGGCGCTGGTCCCTGGTAGGTCTGAACTCCTTAGCTAATGTCCCGGTCTAACATAACATACATTAGCCCGATAAGCTCCAGGGAGCCGTAGGGGCTCCCCACAGAAACGATGACTGTCACCCTGAGACAAGGGCAAACAGCAACCTTCAAACTTGCACGAGGCGAGCTGGATCTCCAAAGATGCATCCATAAGTTCACCGAGCCCCGACAGGGTTTTCCAGGGCCCTGTAGCTGCTGACTGCTACAGGAAGCTCGGGCAAGGTATTGATAACCGTTTAGACCCAAAGCTAACAAGGGGGAGATCAAAACACTGAAACTCCTGTGAAGCAGAAACTCCAAACACAGGGGCCTAGCAGAGGGCCACCAAAATATTATAAGTGATTCTAGCCACACCAGGAAGACCCCCACCAAGCAAACAAAACAAAAAGTAAAAGAAAAACTTTGCAAAAGTACAACATCACCAGAGGAAACAGGAACCAACTGCCAGGGGGAGGGGGGGCTATGCAGAAGATCGGTGTGGTGTGACGTTTGCTTGTTTCCTTGTTTCCGTGGGAATTGAAGGAGTTCTGCCTCTGTTCGGTTTTTGGCTGCAATTTTCTTACTATGTGGGGTCTGTTTTGTTAGGCCTACCTTTCTGGGTGCCTAACCCCAGTCAATGGTAGATAAGGCAAACCCCAGGGGGGGTTTTCCAGGGCCATTGCTCTCTGTGCCTCTCTGAGGGAGCCAGGCTCTGGCGCGTGGTCCCCAGTAGACTGAACTCTTTTTGACTAATGCCCTGGTCTAATGAATTGTATATTAGCCTGATAGATCCAGGAAGCTGGAAGGGGGGCTCCCCAGAGAAAACTAAAATGAATACACAATGAAATCACAATTAAAGTTATTTATGAATAAGAATGAGAATCTTAAAGGAATAACTGCATTCACATATCATATATTCAATACATGAAGAATTAGCCAAGGAGCTACTACATACCGTGAGCTTATATATTCTGGATCCTTTGGGGCCTTCTTTGGAGTATATATGTCCCCGTGAGAGCTTTCCTTCTCTAACTTCCAGCCAGATGAATGAATCGTTTCCCAAGCTCTTTGTAGAGCTCCAAAACCAGTATTCTGTATTTCTATTTCCTATGAATGAATGCAAATTTTGAAAATTAGGTTGTTGTTAAAAAAGTGGAATTGCGCATCGCATCATGTGATGCTTTGGAGTACTACGCAAGATTTAAACGGCCCGCGGATACACGGGGTTCACCACACCTTCATCAGGGCTCTTGTAAACAGATGCCATTTTTAAAAAAAAATCGTGGGCCAAACTCCCGGGTGTTAGGGGCCTCAGTATTGAGTGAGCAACCAAGCCTGACGCACGCAGTATGAACTCACAGCACTGCTGTTCAGCTTGTGACCACAGCATCGCCTAAAAATGCCATAAAAAACCAGCACTGAATGTAATGAAACGCCATTTTCTGGGTGAGCCCCGGAGGCTCCCTGGAGCTTATCGGGCTAATGTATGTTATGTTAGACCGGGACATTAGCTATGGAGTTCAGACCTACCAGGGACCAGCGCCAGAACCTGGCCCCTTCAGAGAGGTTTCAGGGAGCAATGGCCCTGGAAAACCCTATTATGGTTGGGGGTTTTCCTTATCTGCCATCGACCGGGGTCAGGCACCCAGAAAGGTAAGCATAACAAAACAAACCCCACATGGTAAAAAACTACAACAAAAAACTGAACAGAGAGGTAGAAACTCCCTACAATCCCAAGGAAACAATCAAACAATCAATTTACTGCTGCGTCGGTCGTCCGCGCAGCCCTCCCCTCCCCGGGAGGGGGAGGGGGGGGGGCCCCGGACCTCACCGCGCCGGCTGCCTTCAGTTCGGAAACTAGGCTTCAACCAACGCGAAAAAAAAAAAAAACCGACCGGATGGGAGGGAGGGTAGCCAGGGAGCCTCCGGGGCTCACCCAGAAAATGGCGTTTCATTACATTCAACGCTGGTTTTCTGTGGGGAGCCCCTACGGCTCCCTGGAGCTACATACCCAAAGAGAAGGAAAATAGGGACTTACCCGGGAGGCGGCGGCCACAAACTCCTCAACGCGAAGTCGAGACAACTGGCTGCAACCTGCGACCCAAAGCAACACAAGAACGCCGAGGAGCAGGGACGTTCACCAAATAACGGGCGGCCAGGACCCTGTTCGACTTCCAAAATCCACGCGCCCGAATATGAGCCCAAGACATGTTACCAAACACGGCAGCCAAAGCTGCAAACTTCCGAATGTCATGGACGCGAGGATAGACCGCAGACTGGCTAGACTTAATAACCCTGCGGACAACCTGGGAGACCCGAGCCCTGGAACAGGTAACGAGGGAAACCGGATCAACCCAAAGCGCATCCCCAGCCACCCCAGCTGAAGCGCGCAGGTAACGGCGAAGTGCTGCAACCAGACACAACACATGATGCATCCCTGGCCGAACCAACCAAGCATCAATGACCCACGGACCCCTCCGGAAAGCAGCCGTTTCGTTCTTCGCCAGAAAAGATGGAGAAGGCTGCAAACGGACAAACCTACCCCCAGGACCAAAAGAGCAGAAACCCCTGCACCAGAGGAGAGCATGAAGCTCCTCTACCCGGCCCCCAGAGGCCAATGCCAACAAAAACAAAGCCTTGGAAAAACAATCCGGAACCGATGGGGCCACCACAAACCGAGAAGAGGAAAGATATCAGAGCACCCTGTCCAAGGACCAGGATGGCTCAGGAGGAGCATGAGCAGGCCGGAGGTGAAACATAGCACGGGAAAGCTTACGAAACGGGGCGGATGTGACGTCCACCCCGAACGCTAGCTTGAACGGCTCCGCCAGCGCCGCATGATACGAGGCGACAGTATTAGGCATCAAATGACGGTCCTGAAAAAGCCAAGAAAGAAAGGAAAAGACAACCTACAAAGAGCCAGAAAATGGCAAAAAGAATTCCAGGAAACTTCATACTGTCGCCAAGATGAAGCTTTCAGGTGGGACACCATCAACGAAGCCACCTGATCACCATAGAAATGGTGATACACCCGAGTCAAAAAGACCAGACGCGAAGAGCAGAGAAGAAGTTCAAACCAGCCCTGTACTGGACCAGGCCGACCTCCTGAAAGAGGCGGAGCCGCAGGAAACATCCCGGGTTCGGGCACCGAGCCAAGAGCATCGGAAACCAAGGCTGGGCCGGCCACCAAGGGGGCCACAAGGACTACTCTCCCTGGGAATGTCTCCAACCGAACCAGAACCCGAAGCAACAGCTGGACCGGGGGGAAGAGGTACAGGTAACCCCACCTCGACCAGTCCTGCCGAAAGGCATCCACCGCGAACGCCTCGCAGTCGGGGAAGGGCGTCACATAGATTGGGAGACGCCGAGACCACGCCGACGCGAAGAGGTCCACATCTGGGAGACCGTACGTCTGGCAGATCCAACGAAACGAGTCGTCGTCGACCGTCCACTCCGTGGACAGGGGATGGAAGCGTGACAGACCGTCCGCCAGAATGTTGGACACTCCCCGGACATGAACCGCACGGAGAGCCAAACCCCGAGAATCCAGCAGACGAACCACTCGAAGAGACCAACCCCAAAGAGCCAAGGACCGAAGAGAACCCCCGCGGTTCAGGCAATGAACCACCGGAGAACAGTCCGAATGGAGGCGAATGGTCGATCCCCGAGCGACCCGAACCCTCCGAAGCGCGAGCCAGACTGCCGCGAACTCCCGAACCGTGCTGTGAGCCCGACGGAAGGACGGACCCCACCGTCCCTGGCCTGCCTGGTGAGCACTGGTCACAAAGCCCCAGCCGAGAGACGACGCATCCGTGAACACATCGAGCGAAGGCTCGGGAAGGCACCAAGGCACCGAACCCCGAAAACCCCAAAGAGGAAGTCAGTGATGCAGCAACCGACACAAGACCCCCAGAGGACGAACCCAACGATCGCGAGAGAGGCAGAAGGGACTTCCCCGAAGGAACCAAAACAGACGCCGAAGCCAAGCCCGACCAGGCGGGTAGACTAGCACGGCGAAGTTCAGACTCCCACACAACCGCTCGAGCAACCGCCAAGTGACCCGAGACCCCCTCAGAAACAGCCGACGGCAGTCCCGCAGCCACAACAACGCCTCTGGAGGGAGAGACAAGGAAACGGTCCGAGAATCCCAAACAAGACCCAGCCAGGTCCGAACCTGGGACGGAACCAGATGGGACTTCCTCCAGTTCACCAGGAACCCAAACCTGGCGAGCTGGGAAAGAACCATATCCCTGGCGAGCAGACAAGCTGACCGACTGGGAGCCCACACCAGCCAGTCGTCGAGGTAGGCCAAAACCCGAATCCCTAGAAGACGCAGACGGGTCACCACAACCCGGGTCAGACGCGTGAAAACGCGAGGTGCCAGATTCAAGCCAAAAGGTAGGCATCGAAAACGGTAAGCGTGACGCCCCACCACGAAACCTAACCAGTCCCTGAACCCCGGATGAATAGGAACGTGCCAATAGGCGTCCTTGAGGTCCAGGGACACCATCCAGGCACCCGGCTCCAACAGAAGCCGGACCTGAGACAGAGTAGTCATCCGAAAGGAGGGGCAAGGAATCCAGGGGTTCAGACGGGACAAGTCCAGAATGAACCTCAGATCCGCACAGTCCCGTTTCGGCACTGGAAACAGACGGGAAACCCACCTGAGGGACGTAGTCGTTTCGACCACGCCCAAGCGCACCCACTCCAAGACGACTTGACGAAGCGCAGGAGAAGAAACCTGCCCTGTTAGCCCCGAACCCCCCAAAGGAGGACGAGTCGCCCAACGCCACCGAAGGCCGGATGACACGACCGAAAAGGCCCACAAATCGTGGGACCAAGCGTGAGCCAACAGAGAGAGCCTCCCCCCCATCGCCCCGTCAACAAGGCGAACCGCGAAAGGGCCGACGCCCCTTACGAGAACCCAAACGTCGAACAGGTCGATCACCGTGCCGACCAGACGACGCTGGCCCCGAAGGGAACAACGGCTCAGAAACTGGCACCAATGGCCCACCTCGACCAGCGGAACCCGGAACCCTGGCACGACCCCTCCGAAACTGCCGAGAACGACTGCTTCAGAGAATCAACATGTCTGCCATAGGACGACAACTGGACGAAGCCGCGTGCAGAAACTGAAAGACCGCAGTGTCTGCAAACACCAATGAACAAAACGGAGACGAAAACCTAAGAGCCAGGGCCCAAGAGGATTCAAAAGAGAGGGCGAGTACAGCCCGACGGCACGCGAGGTGAGAAGCAAAAAACAGAGACACCGCTTCCTTCAGGATGGGCGCAAAGAGCTTCAACCGTGCAGCCGACGCCCTAGCTGCCGAAGTCAGCGCCCCGGACGAAGGCCCTTCCCTCAGCGCTCCCACATCCTCCTTAAGCCAAGCAGAAGACAGCTCGAGAAGGGAAAAGAAACGCAAGACCGAAGCCAAATGCCCACGGGAGCGCAACTCCTCCACAACCAACGAAGCCGAAAGCTGAGGAACCTGCACGTGAAGCTGGAAAAGGCCAACATCCCGAGAAGGCACGGGAGCTAACAAGCACGCATTAAGGTGCTCAAACTCGCCCCCCAGGTAAACCTGCATAAAAGTAGCAGTTTCCCGCCAATCAAGCGTGCGGGTCCGACAGAACCCATGTCACGCCCCCAACAAAAAGAAAGGGCAGTCTGCCAGCCAGGAAGACTCCGGAACCTCCAAACGCACCCAAAAACGGGAAGAAGAACCGAACTCAAACGAGGACGGATCCATTGCAGTGGCATAACCTGGGTCTCGCAAGAGGTATGCAGCAAGAGCTTCCCGAGCCACCTTCGCGGAGATATGGGAAGTAGAAAACCTCTGGAAAGACGAATCCGAGGTACCCAAAGGCGCCCGGAACCGAACCCGGGGAGGAGCCGAACCCAAATCATACTCATACAGGGAAGGGGGGTAAGAAAATCCCTCCCCCTGCAACAATAAGCCCCGCGAGGAAGGCAAAAGCACCCAAGCGGGGTCAAAGGGGGCCCAAGGCCCCCAGGTTGACTCCTCCCCAGCTCCAGAATCCCCCATGTCAGGACCCAGGGCAGAGCCGTCCTCCAAACCCTCTACCCCTGAAGAAAAGGCAGAGTCCAAGGGAAAGGCAGACAAGAAGGGGGTCTGTTGGTTGGACCCAGAAGCCTCGGCAGGAGGAACCGGCTCAAATGCCTCCGTCCCCGACCCGGATGGAGCAGCCCCTGAGGCAGCCCAAGTCTCATTACCAACTAAACCCTGTGCCGAGGCCGAAACCCTCAGACGTTTTGGAGCCGGACACGGGGGAGGAGGTGCAGGAAGAACCACAGGAGAAGGACCAGGGGGCGCGGCAGGAGCCAAAGCCAAAGCGACTAACGCCCCCAGGTCAGGGTCCCTAAAACCAAAATGGGGCAGCCTCGGGGCATCCGGGTAGGGAAACCAACCTAGCACGTTGCAATAACCTAAAGCTAACATGCAACGCTGATGCTGCCTGTACCCTAACAGGAACATCCTCAGAGTAAAACTGGAGCACAAGTAAAGAACATGACTCGCAAGACTCCGGGTCAAAGGTGTCGTTGACCCAACAGGCAGCATGACGGAGGCAAAACAGGTGACTGTCACCCTGAGACAAGGGCACACTGCAACCTTCAAACCCGCACAAGACAGGCTGGAACTCGGGAGACGCATCCATGGTTCCACCGAGCCCCGACAGGGGTTTCCAGGGCCCGTAGGGTAAAAACTACGGGAAGTCCGGGCAAGGTGTTGCTAACCGGTTAAGAAACCCAAACAAACAAGGATAAATGATAACACTGAAAATCCCCTGGGTCATGTACAAGCACGGGGGCCTAGCATAGTGCTACCAAAACAATATCAGGGGAACTATAGACCCACGAGGCACAACCTCCACCAGGCAAACAAAAACAAAATAAAAGAAAAACCCTGCAAAAGTACACCGTCTCCAGAGGCAACAGGAACCGGTCGCCGCTTAGGTGGAAGGCCGCGCAACACCTTGACGCCGAAACCAGCACAACACCACTCCCTACCCAAGGCCAAACAAGGGCCCCAAGCCCCAGCTGGCCCCAAGGGCGAGGCAAATGGCGAGCAGCAAGAACCCCTATATTAGCGGTTCCCGAACGCCCCAGGGAAGATAACCCTGACACGCAGGGGCAGTACTCACAGGGTGCCTAGGGAAGGAAACCCCTAAGCGCATGCAGCCCCGGCACTGATAAGGTACTCCTGGCTACCACACACCACACAAAGACAGCAGAGAACGCCACACGAGGCAAACACCGCCCAGGAATTTGAGGCCAGAGAAGCGTCTATCCCGGTTGACACTAGCTTACGAACTGAAGGCAGCCAGCACGTTGAGGTCCGGGAAGGGGAGGGCTGCGCGGCGACCAGCGCAGCAGTAAATTGATTGTTTGATTGTTTCCTTGGGATTGTAGGGAGTTTCTACCTCTTTGTTCGGTTTTTTGTTGTAGTTTTTTACCATGTGGGGTTTGTTTTGTTATGCCTACCTTTCTGGGTGCCTGACCCTGGTCGATGGCAGATAAGGAAAACCCCCAACCATAATGGGGTTTTCCAGGGCCATTGCTCCCTGAAACCTCTCTGAAGGGGCCAGGTTCTGGCGCTGGTCCCTGGAAGGTCTGAACTCCATAGCTAATGTCCCGGTCTAACATAACATACATAAGCCTGATAAGCTCCAGGGAGCCGTAGGGGCTTCCCCACAGGAAGACGGGACACCACGAGCGTAGCTCTCATCCTGTAACTACACTTAGGTAATTACACTTAGGTAATTACACATAGAATTATATGAACATGTTTGCTGATGATGATAAGATAATAAGGAAGATAAGAAACCTAGATGATTGTCATGCCCTTCAAGAAGATCTAGACAAAATAAGTATATGGAGCAACACTTGGCAAATGGAATATATTGTGAATAAATGCCATGTTATGGAATGTGGAATTGAAGAACATAGACCCCACACGACCTATAAATTATGTGAGAAATCTCTAAAGAATTCTGATAAAGAAATAGATCTAGTGGTGGTTCTAGATAGAAAACTTTCACCTGAGGGCCACATAAAGAACGTTGTGCGAGGAGCCTATTCTATGCTTTCTAACTTCAGAATTGCTTTTAAATACATGGATGGGGAAATGCTAAAGATTGTTGACAACTTTTGTTAGGACAAAGCTAGAATATGCAGCGGTTGTGTGGTGCCCATACCTTAAGAAGCACATCAACAAACTGGAAAAGGTGCAGACATGCTATCAAGTGGCTCCCAGAACTGAAGGGCAAGAGCTACGAGGAAAGGTTAGAGGCATTAAATATGCCAAAAGAAGACAGAAGAAAAAGAGGTGATATGATCACTACTTTCAAAATAGTAACAGGAATTGACACAATTAATAGGGAAGTTTTCCTGAGACCTGGAACTTCAAAAACAAGAGGTCATAGGTATAAACTCACTAAACAAAGATGCCGAAGAAATATAAGAAAATTCACTTTCACAAACAGAGTGATAGACGGTTGGAACAAGTTAAGTGAGAAGGTGGTGGAGGGCAAAACCGTCAGTAGTTTCTAAGCGTTATATGACCAAGAGTGCTGGGAAGACAGGACACCACGAGCGTAGCTCTCATCTTGTAGCTACACTTAGGTAATTATACTTTGATAATTACATATATATGAGGGAGGGAGGGGGGGGGGGGGGAGGGGGAGGAGGGAGAGGGGAGGGAGAGGGAGGGGAGGGAGAGAGGGGAGAGAGAGAGGGGAGGGAGGGAGGGAGGGAGGAGGGGAGGGGAAGGGAGGGAGGAGGGAGGGAGGGGGGAGGGGGAGGAGGGAGGGGGGCATTCTTGATCCACCACCCAGAATGAACCAAGTGGGACTCCACTGAAATTACTCCTACTTCATATTTTCTAATGAATAACTTCAAATTTGTATTAGTCCAGTATCTTTATTTTGCAGGTAGATAAAAACATTTGTATTAAACTCACTTGAGGTGACAACTTTCTACTGAGCTGTGAACAGTTTTCATCTTCTTCATCTGACCCTGAATAAAAAAAAGTGGTATATATCAGAATAGTGACCAATACCGCTTTTAATGGTACAGTATTGTAATATACACAAGGATTTATAATAATTTTTTTGCAGCATGATATTCTGTAACAGAAAACCAGCGTTGAATGTCATGAAACGCCATTTTCTGGGGGAGTCCCGGAGGCTCCCCGAAGCTATCCAGGCTGAGTGGATATGTATAACTTTCTGGCATCAGTCAAAGTGCTAGGAGTTCTTGCCTGCCAGGGACCACAAGCCAGAACCTGGCCCCCCCTCAGAGAGGCACGAGGAGCAATGGCCTATAGTAACCCCCTCGTGGTTGGGAGCATTCTATGTCTGCCATCGACCGGGATAGGCACCCAGAAAGGTAGGCGCCCCAAAACAAACCCCTAGTCTGGTGAAAATATTGCTACCGAAAACCGAACGAGTGGACAGAACTCCTCAAACAATATTATCAAACTAGCATGACATCATTACGTCGCCGCGCCACCGTCTGCGCAACCCCCCCCCTTTCCAGGAGGGAGAAGGGGGAGCCCCAGACCCTCCACGCCGGCGATCCAACTGGCAGTTCTTAGGTTGGATGTCAAAATACACGAAAAATGCCGCCGACCAGAGGGGGGGGGATGCTGAGGAGCCTCCGGGACTCACCCAGAAAAAGGCGTTTCACTACAATCAACGCTGGTTTTCTGGGGGGAGCCCTGTTGGCTCCCCAGAGCTACCTCACCACAGATAAGGAAAACAGGGAAGGAACTGGGAGGCGGATGCCAAGCGCCCTAACCTAAAAACCAAAACAAGAGAAAAATAGACCACCCAGGCCAACGACCAGGACGGCACCAGAACTCAAGAGCAGGCTGGAGGTGAAACAACACCCAGGACAGCAAGCGGAACGGAACAAAAGGAACCCCAACACCAAACGCAAGCAGGAGCGGCTCCGCTAGCCACCCAATACGAGGTGACAGGACTCAGTCCCAGACGACGGTCCTGGAACAACCCCGAAGGGAAGATAAGCCAACCCTATCAGAGACCGAAGGTCTGTTTGCAGTGATAGGAAAACCGGAAGGATGTCCAGGAAAACCACACACCATCCCCGAGATGAAACACGCAGGTGGGAGCTCAATAACGAACCAACCAGTGCCGGCACAAATGACGAGAAACTAGCACCACGAACGAAAGCACAAAATGCGAATCGAAAAACGGCGACCCCGCAACCCAAAGGAGCAACATAACCAGATCCAGCAGGGAAGAGTGATGCACGTGTCCCTGAGGCATCCAAGAGGAGAACTACGCAGGACATGAACAGCAGGAAAGCAAACACACCCGATCCGGAAAAGGAACAAAGAAAAACCGGAGCCAGGACCGGAACCCAGCTACCGGTTCCAAGAATAGGAACCAGTAAGGCAGGAGCAGCGGACTGAAAGTCCACAACCCCCCACAGACAGCACAACACCAAAGCCTGCAGTAAGTAGCAAAGAAAATCGTAGGAACTCAGTACCAAAACGGAACACCGGAGAAGTCCAGAAGCAGGGAACTGAACATGGACAGAGGCCCACCCGAGCACCCAACATCAGGGTAGTCAAGAAGCACCGACCCAGATACACAAACAAGTGTAGCATAGGAGGAGGAAAAATGGAAATAGGTAAGGAAAACCCCGAAGACGGACCAAGGAGCAGCCAGGAAGTAATGCATACGACCAACCACAAAATGTGTAGAGGAGGGCGTACATACCCAAGGGACCTCATGGACAGTAGGGTGCAGCCAGGCACCGAAGATAGGCAAGGAATGAGTTTCCAGATAGGGAAAAGACCCAGGTGCCGACAATGAAACCAAAAGCACCGAAATGCAGGGCAGAGCCCCACAGGACAACAAATAACAAGAGACATGGATAAAGGAGTCATTGAAGACACACACAAGATGACCAAACACAACACACTACACCAAACACCCCTGCTGCGCGGGGGAGCTGCGCAGACATGCAGCGCGGCTCGTGTGACATCATGCTTGTTAGTTCGTTTTTCTGGGGGATTTCTGTCCACTCGTTTGTCGATTTTTGTTGTTAACCAGAATAGGGGTTTGTTTTGTGGCGCTTACCTTTCTGGGTGCTTGTCCCGGTCGATGGCAGATATAGAATGCTCCAAATCACATGTGCATTTCTATGGGCCATTGCTCCCCGTGCCTCTCTGAGGGGGCCAGGTTCTGGTTCGTGGTCCCCGGTAAGCCTAGAACTCCACCCACATCGACTGATGCAAAATAGTTAGGGTATCTATATCAGGCATGGATAGCTCCGGGGAGCCGTAGGGGCTCCCCCCAGAAAAGGAATTCAGTGTGTGACAATGATGATATTACAATATAACTCTCTAAATGATCATTTTATGTCATATTAGTAATATAGGAGGGAGGGAGAGATGCTAAGAGGGAGGGGGAGGTAGGGAGAGATGCTAGGAGGTAGGCAGGAAGAGATGGAAGTAGTGAGAATTAGGGAGGGAAAGGCAGGCAGGCAGGCAGGCAGGCAGGCAGGCAGGCAGGCAGGCTAGCTTGCAGGCAGGCTAGCTTGCAGGCAGGCAGGGAGTGAGTGGTAGTCACGCGGTTGAACCGCGTGACCTTTAAAAGAGAGTATGGGATGTAGGGGGCGGGTGGTGGGGGCGAGACCGGCTCATTCCCGAAGATAAGCCTAACACACACTACCCGTTAGCATGATGGCAGGCAGGCAGGCTTGCAGGCTGGGAAGGAGGCAGGCAGGCAGGCAGGCTTGCAGGCTGGGAAGGAGGCAGGCAGGCAGGCAGGCTTGCAGGCTGGGAAGGAGGCAGGCAGGCTTGCAGGCTGGGAAGGAGGCAGGCAGGCTTGCAGGCTGGGAAGGAGGCAGGCAGGCAGGCTTGCAGGCTGGGAAGGAGGCAGGCAGGCAGGCTTGCAGGCTGGGAAGGAGGCAGGCAGGCTTGCAGGCTGGGAAGGAGGCAGGCAGGCTTGCAGGCTGGGAAGGAGGCAGGCAGGCAGGCAGGCTTGCAGGCTGGGAAGGAGGCAGGCAGGCAGGCAGGCTTGCAGGCTGGGAAAGAGGCAGGCAGGCAGGCAGGCTTGCAGGCTGGAAAGGAGGCAGGCAGGCAGGCAGGCTTGCAGGCAGGCAGGCTTGCAGGCTGGGAAGGAGGCAGGCAGGCAGGCAGGCAGGCTTGCAGGCTGGGAAGGAGGCAGGCAGGCAGGCAGGCTTGCAGGCTGGGAAGGAGGCAGGCAGGCAGGCAGGCTTGCAGGCTGGGAAGGAGGCAGGCAGGCAGGCAGGCTTGCAGGCTGGGAAGGAGGCAGGCAGGCAGGCTTGCAGGCTGGGAAGGAGGCAGGCAGGCAGGAAGCGATATATGGGTGTTGAAGTGAACCATGAACCACGTGACCTTTGAGAGTGTGTGTATGGGTTTGGGGTGGGGGGAGAGGGGGAGGTGTGTCGGTGGTGGGGGAGGGACCGGCTGACTCCGTAAGCCTAACCACACTCCACAGACCTGTGACCCAGATTTGTTTCTTAAATGTACAGTACATCATCGTATATTTTAGGCAGGATGTGCCTGCAGGCTGGCAGGCAAGCTGGCAGGCAGGATGTGCCTGCAGGCTGGCAGGCAAGCTGGCAGGCAGGCTGTGCCTGCAGGCTGGCAGGATGTGCCTGCAGGCTGGCAGGCAAGCTGGCAGGCTGTTCCTGCAGGCTGGCAGGCAGGATGTTCCTGCAGGCTGGCAGGATGTTCCTGCAAGCTGGCAGGATGTGCCTGCAGGCTGGCAGGCAAGCTGGCAGGCAGGGTGGCAGGATGTTCCTGCAGGCTGGCAGGAAACATCTAGAGGATGTTTGCCAGTCGTCTTAATAATCAGTTAGGAACAATTAAGGACTTTTATAAAGCGGACCAGGACTATGTAATAAAAGTAGAGGAAGTCATAATTCATGCAGAAATTAAGTGGATATCTACATAAGCTACCACATACCAAGAGGTGAATCCAAAGGAGAGTAGAAATCTCCCACAGTGTCAGAGCAATTATTTAGGTAATCTCGTACTCTTCTTTCCAGCTGAGGTAGGAGTGGATCACTCTCAGATTGATCACAAGTATTTGAGGCTGAAAAAAAAAATACTTGAATATAATAAATGCCACTTTCTGGGCAGTTTCTCAACAATTGCTCTAAGAGTAGGTCCTAGTATTACAGGACATTCCATCATGTATTTGGCCCAAGACTTGTATAGACCTATCAACAACCAGGAACAGAATCTGGGTTGTAAGGAACAGGACCTTTATAATAAATATTTTTTCTGATTAATGATGAAAACAAAACTTTTAAATGTTTCCTTGTAAAAAGTGTGATTTGAAACTCCTGCTAGAGTTTCAAATCTCCATAGGGGAGCCGTAGGGGCTCCCCACAGAAAACCAGAGTTGAATAGAATGAAACGCCAATTTCCGTGCGAGCCCCAGTGATTCCCTAAACCTCCCCTCTTCCTTCCAGGTAATTGGGTAGGTCTTGTTTGTCATATGCTGCACATCCTAAACCTCAGACCAAGGGGGGTGGTTAGCCCCTTAACTCTTCCACCCCCAAGGAGGAGGGAGGGCAAACGAGCTCACGCTAATTTTGAGAGATTAGATCTTTGTTTATGTTAATAGGGAAGTTTATTAGTTTTGAGTCTTCAGTTTCCTTTGAACCTAGCAGTGGTTTCTTTTGATTTGCCGAGTTTTTGGATGCCTTCCCCGGCAAAATGTCATAGCTCTCTTCACCTTTGTGAGAGAGGCCAAGTTCTGGTTTTGGTCTCCAAGTAGGCCTGAGAACTCCATGGCTGATGCAATTTGGTAGATGGGAGTTATCTCAACATATAGCTTCAGGTAGCCACCAAGGATAACCCAAAAAGTGCTGTTTCATTACATTCCACACTGGTTTTTTCTCTAGGAACTCTCCTTAAATGATATTTATTTAAAAACATTTTGAATATTTGTAAATGGACTACACAAAAGAATTTTGTTTTATGTTATAAACTCTCACCTTCAAGGATGGATTTCGCTCTTGCTTCCTGTGGTAAAACACGGAAATCTATAAACCAGGCTTCAATCCATGCGATGAAGAATGAAAGGAGGATTAACATCACCTCAAAAGGGTAGCTTGTCTTGTCATTCCACTGTTTAAAAAAAAAAAATATAAATTACAACAAAATATATTAAATTCATATAAATGATGTAAATATGTATATACAGTACAACCTCATTTCAACGTACCCTGATTCAACAAATCTCCGGCTAGTTCGCACATTTTTCAGGCCGGATTTACTTGGTTTTGAAGAACAATGGTTCGCCGAAGTGGGAGATGTTCGGATTTGCTTACGATGTCGGGACAGAGTTCACAGACTGGTAGAAAACTTTCCCATTCTATCACAGATTACAATTAATAATTCCTTCATATGGCAAGTTGGACCACACAAGTGTACCACACAAGCTTACGATGTTGGGACAGCGTTCACAGAGTGATGGAAAACTTTCTCATTTTATTACAGATTCCAATTAATAATTTCTTCATAAGACAAGTTGGATCACACAAGTGGACCATCTTGAGGTTACCTTGAGGTGATTTCAGGGCTCAGCGACCCCGTGGCCCGGTCGTCGACCGGGCCACGGGGTCGACCGGGCCATGGTGGCGGCCGCTTGGCCGCCACCAGCTAGGTGGCGGCCAAGGCTAGACACACTAATATTTCTCCTCCAACAATACTGTTTGTGGTGTTATTATGCTATGTTGTTGTTTTAGATTCAGCTACTAGGAACAAAATGTTCCAAATAGCATGGGTTATGGTGAGCCCGTAGTGGACTTACCTGGCACAGGAGTGGGGCTGTAACTGTGTATTACACTATATACACATATTATATATAAGTATCTACCTGTTTTATTCACCATACCTGTACAAATAAGCTGGTATGGTGCCCAAAGACCATAGTGGCCACCAGTAAACAACAAGACATGCCATGCAGACGACACACCTCCCTCACCAAAATGGCAGCTCCCAACCTACTCCTATTGCTGTTATTACACTCTATACACACGTTATATATAAGTATCTACATTTGTGTTCACCATAGCGAACCACTAAGCTGGTATGGTGAGTGTAGTCAATAAAAGGTGGCCACACACAGTCAGAAGACAACGCCACCACCCTCCCTCCCACAGCATTACTCCTCCCTCCATGGAGCACAGCACTAAATATAACCACAATCCTGCTATTATCAGAATCCTGGTCAGTTTTATCACAGTCAGGGGTCTTCTGTAATACTATCATCGCTAAATAATAGCATGAACATATATATTATGGCATTTGTAGGCGATGCTGTGGTCACAAGCTGAACAGCGGTGCTGTGAGCTCGTGCTGCGTGTGTCAGCCTTGGTGGCTCACTCAATACTGAAGCACTCACACCCAAGAATGTTGGCCTGAATTTTTTTTCTAGGTGGCATCTGGCAACTATCGGTCGTGGCTGCACTATAGCTGCCCCTATCCCAGGTGGGGCGTTGTGGTGTAATAACACCACAGTATTGTTGGAGGAGAAATATTAGTTTGTCTGGCCTTGAGGGCATCTCTGGCCTTGTCAGCTACTCACACAGCTGATTGAGTGAGTAGCTACGTCTTATTGCCTTTACTAACCATACAAGCTTAGATGTACAGTTATGGTGAACAAAACATGTAAATACTTATATATAACGTCTGTGTATAGTGAATAAATGCAAAAACAATATCGTGGGAGAAGAATGTGGGCGAGTGAGGTGTTGTTGAGGGAGGGAGTGGCAGCGAGTGGCTGGCTGGTGTGTGGCGGGTATTCCTCCTTGCTTTTTGACTCACAATACCAACTTAGTAGTTTGTTAAGGTGAACAAAACATGCAGATACTTATATATAACCTGTGTATATAGTGTAATACCAGCAAAACTATTTGTTTATTGTTTTTATGAACATAATAATTGAATCACTAATATGCACACCATAATTTTGAGTACAATGATGTTTCACACATTTTATAACCACTACAGTAACAGTAACCACTACATCAGCAATAGAACTGACAGCTCAGACCCCGGCAAGTGGTGAGCTACTTTCCCTCCTGCCCCAGATCAATGGGGGAGGTTGGGCAAATTAGCTTGTGCAAGTTACAAAAGAATTCTATCATTTGTTTACATAGCTGGGGAAGTTCTTTAGGCAGATTTTGAGGCTTCCATCTCTTTTGAGTCCAGTAGTGTTTGTTCTGACTCATTGACTTTCGGGTTACCTTTACCGATGAGGTGGCGAAATGTCACCAGTCACGGCACTCTGTAAGGGAGCTGTGTTCTGGCTTTAGTCCCTGGTAGCAACCTGTCCTCTTAACCCTCAAACCGCACATATCATATATAAATGATATCAGTGACAAAACCGAAACCGCGCACATCATTTATATATGATTTCGTGTTTAGCGCTATAATTTAAACGCCCCGCCTGGGATAAGGGCAGCTATAGTACAGCCACGACCGATAGTTGCCAGATGTCACCTAGAAAAAAAATCCAGGCCAACATTCTTGGGTGTTACAGCGTCAGTATTGAGCAAGCCACCAAGGCTGGCGCACACAGCACGAGCTCACAGCACCGCTGTTCAGCTTGTGACCACAGCATCGCCTACAAATACCATAATATAAATGATACTGCTATTATTTTGCAGTGATAGTATTACTGAAGCCCCCTGACTGTGATAAAACTGACCAGGATTCTGATAATAGCAGGATTGTGGTGATATTTAGCGCTGTGCTCCATGGAGGGAGGAGTAAGGCTGTGGAATGGAGGGTTGTGGCGTCGTCTTCTGACTGTGTGTGGCCACCATTTATTGACTGCACTTACCATACCAGCTGAGTGGTTCGCCATGGTGAACACAAATGTAGATACTTATATATAACGTGTGTATAGTGTGAGATAACAGCGAGAGGAGTAGGTTGGGAGCTGCCATTTTGGTGAGGGAGGAGCGTCGTCTGCACGACTTGGCATGGTGTTTACTGATGGCCACTATGGTCTTTGGGCACCATACCTGCTTATTTGTTCAGGTATAGTGAATAAAACAGGTAGATACTTATATATAATGTGTGTATATAGCATAATAACACCACAAACAATATTGTTGGATGACAAATATTAGTGCGTCTGGCCTTGAGGGCGGCCGCCGATCAGCTGACTGTGTGAGTAGCTACA